GAAACCCCCTGTTATAAAGGACTAATTATAAAATTTACTCTTATTTATATCAAACATCTAATATATTAGAACATTATGTTACATTAGAAATATTTTTTAATTGATTAAGGTGTAATTAGGACAACAATACTCTTCTGTTCTCTTCAATTTTTTTATTATCCGAACCTGAAGAATTTATAATATACAAAATCAGATTAAACTTTAATTGAATTAAAATCAAACCCAGCTAGATCAAAACATTATAAAATCAAATAAAAACCAATAAAAATAAGACACAGAGAACAATTTAGGTTTTAAAGTACACTGTGCCTCCTCCTCTTCATTAGGAAAACAAATACTCCCTCCGTCCCAAATAGATTTACCCCTTTCATAAAATTTATGTCCCATAAACATTTACACATTTACCTAAAAAAGACATTTATACCCTTAAACCTAATTTCTACCCCCACCCTCTTACCCCACCCACCGAGCTCTAACCTACCCATCCCCTCATCCATTCATCCTCTCTCCTCTATCCTTCTCTATGTGCTTGTTCCCCTTCCCCATCGCCGCTGGCACCCTGAATCATCAAATCTCTATCTTCCATACCTCCTTCCCATAAGAATTCACCAAAAATGGCGATTCGCGACCCTACCATGCCCTCCTTCAAGCTTTTAAGCGATAGTGAAGATGAAAGGGCATCTCCCCAGCCAACTCCTAAATCTAAAAAATCACTGATACCTAAATACGACTCTGGTGATAGCGCATCTGGCACGGATGATACAGATCCGACGTGGTGGTATCGGAAAAAATTTTTGGGGGTGACTTTTTTCCGTCTGAGGATGAAGGAGGCAGTGTCGAATCTGATGGGGAAGATGAGGAATTAGTAACTTCGGCCCAGATCTTGGAGATGTCTGATACAGAAATAATTTTCGCTGAGAACTATGGAGATGAGGCTAAAGCACTGCGTTTCAGATAGAGTATTATGTTCTTCCTCTTTAGATTCACATACGATTAGTATTTGCATGTCCCATTATATACTCTATATAATGTTTATTGGCAAACTTATGATGCAAACAAACTTTGTGTGAATGAATGGAAGTCTGTGAGCTTTTTTTGGGTTTAGCTATATTGTAATATCACCCCCTATGGGTTGGAGACTTACAACACTGTATTGGTCTGGTCTACCATATTTTTTGTTCTGTGAGAGGGGCTTGGTGGTGAAAATTTGGGGGTTGATGGTGAATTGGGTGAAGGTAATCCCTGTTTGAAACATATGGGCAGTTGATTTTGAATGAGTACCCTTGTTGCATAAAATGAGATGAGTACTCCACTTGCTATAATATTTTGCTTTACACTAAACATGGACTTGATTGGATATCTTTCCTCTGTCTGATTCTCTAGTTCATTTACTACACTTGATTCCTAAAATAATTTCTAAAGAACAATGCTTAGGGCAGGTCCTACACTTGATTGTGTTGCCTCTGTCTGAGCTTCATTTACTACACTTGATTCCTAAAATAATTTCTAAAGAACAATGTGTTGATCAATTCTTAAACATAAAATACAAATTAGGGATTTAATCATGTGTACCTGATAATCCTGTAAACATAGTTAGGGATGAGGCCATGATTCTCACGGAGATCGAGTTCCCGTTTAGGGTGTATCGTTATGATGGCTAAGGTGAGGATGAGACTCACGAGAATAGAGAGGAGAAGGCGTAAGATTGGTGTGTCGATCTCTGCCTAATGACCTATATATATACACCCAAGGGGAAACCCTAATTAGGTCGTAAAGGTAATTACGTCCATCGAATAATTACCAATTAAATACGTAGGGTATTTATTAGGTCAATGATCAATTAATTAGATAAATGATAACTCAGGCCACATAATAAAATCGTGTCCTACATTCTCCCACTTGGCTGAGTAATCATTTTGATGAGTATTAGATAAGTCTGATCAGATTTTAATACTCATTTTAGTTTTAAACCGAAATTGTAGCAGAGAAATACAGTCATTGAATCGATATTCAATTCAAGACCCCCATTAATCATACTACAATACCAAAGTTAAAACTTAAATAAGCTAAGGATCAAATTGACAATTAAGCCCATAACATTATTTTGTATATAAATGTTGTCTATATGTATTTAGGCATGATAGACACATTCAGAGACAAACGAAACAAAACAATGAGGAAATTTTATTATTAAATGTAAGCAAGTACAATATGCAACTAAATAAGGTCTTTAGAAAACCCCATCTTTGAAACATGTTCTTCGAAAATCTTAGGAGGGAGACCTTTAGTCATCGGATCCGCAAGCATATTCTTAGTACTTATATGCTCAATACAAAGTTTATTTTCCTTAACTCGCTCACGTACGAACAAGTACTTCGTATCAAGATATAAAGCAGCGCCAGTCGAACTGTTACTGTTCGAGAAACTAACGGCGGCTAAGTTATCACAGTAAAGCTTCAATGGTCGGGAGATGGAATTAACTACTTTGAGTCCAGTGATGAGGTTTCTAAGCAACATCCCATGACTGGTTGCGTTGTACACCGCAATGTATTCTGCCATCATTGTAGAAGTTGCAGTCAACTCTTGCTTATGACTCTTCCACGAGATAGGTCCGCCAGCTAACATAAAGATATACCGTGAAGTGGATTTCTTGTCATCTTTGCATTTAGCAAAATCAGAATCAGAATAACCAACCACTTCTAGATTATCACTCCTTCTGTAAGTTAGTTTATAGTCTTTTGTCCCTTATAGATATCGAAGAACTTTCTCAGCTGCTTTCCAGTGATCAAGACCAGGATTTGTCTGATAACGACCTAACATTCCAGCAATGTAAGCAATATCTGGACGAGTACAGACTTGTGCATACATAAGGCTTCCTACTACTGACGCATAAGGTATCATTCTCATCTGTTCTTTTTCAACCTCTGTTTTCGGACATTAAAATAAACCGAAAACATCTACCTAAACTATTGGAGCCACAGAAGGAGAGCAATGTTGCATGTTATAACGTGTAAGGACACGCTCTATGTAAGCCTTTTGAGATAATCCCAAAATACCATTGACTCTATCGTGGTGTATCTTGATGCCAATAACATAAGTAGCCTATCCGAGATCTTTCATGTCAAAATTACGCGAGAGTAAGCACTTGGACTCATGCAACATGTCTAAACGATTACTTGCCAATAGAATGTCATCTACGTGAAGGACAAGTATAGTAAAGTTGCTCCCACTCATCTTGAGGTAGGTGCATTGATCCACTTGATTCTTTATGAAACCTTCTGACTTCAAGACTTGATGCAACTTTAGGTACCATTGACGTGATGCCTACTTCAACCCACATATGGATTTCTTTAGCTTACAGACTAGATGTTCTTGACCTTCAGATTTGAATCCTTTGGGTTGTTTCATGAACACTTCTTTATCCAAATCGCCATTAAGGAAAGCAGTTTTGACATCCATCTGATGTAGCTCTAAGTCAAAGTGAGCTACAAGGGCCATAACGATCCTTAAAGAATCCTTTCGAGAGACAGGAGAAAAAGTCTCTTGATAGTCAATTCCATCTTTCTGAGTGTAGCCCTTTGCAACCAATCTCTCTTTGTAGCGTTCAATGTTTCCATTCAGATCCAGTTTTGTTTTGAAGACTCATTTACATCCTACAGGTTTTACATCGTTGGGTAATTCAACCAAATCCCAAACATCATTTTTCTTCATGGAGTCAATGTTGAAGACTTGTCGTGTGGTCCAAAACAAATTAAAAATTTATAAATAACCTTAGCTAACCCCCAAAATAGAATCAAATAAAAACTATAGCTAGGGCAAGTAAGGGTCGATCCCACGGAGAAAGTTTGTACTTTTGAAATCATTTAAGCATGCACACACATTGTCATTAATCAAAATAAACTAACTACTACACATATTATAACACTTATAAAACTTATAACTAAAACTTATAACTAAATAAATATGAAAACTTATAAATATAACTTATATAAACAAAGAACTTATAATATAACTTATAACACTAAACACAATAGGGGGGTGTTGGATGTAAAGTAAATATATTTTTGGTTTTTTATTTTTCTTATTTTTTTGATTTTTTTGATAAAATGGGGGAAATAAGCTCAAAAGATATTACTTCTCCAATAAAGGTAACCCAAGAAACACCGCCAAGAACCCGAGACAAAATGAAAAAAAGAGAACAAACACGAGTTGAAAATTACACGTATAATAGGCACGTAGACAATATATTACGTAACTTACGCACTTAAGAATAAAAAAAATCAATCAAAGGCCGAGTCGATTCATTTCCTTAACCACGATATGGAGGATTGTCAACTCTGCCTGGAGTCATGCAATTAAAAGGCCCGTTTTGAAATATACCTTAGAACCCCAACTCTCTATTCAAGCATGAGAACATACTTCTTGTATAGAAAAAGTTTATAATAGAGAGAATCTATTATGCATTCAACTCTCATACATAATCTATTCACAAACCGCCAATACCTTATGCATTTTAATAAACTTTTTCTCCTAATGGTGAGCACATTTCACAGATTTCCATGAACTTCTCAAACTAATGACGTTTTTTCTATTCACATAGAAGAACACAACGTATTTCCAATAAATCAAGAATCATTTTTGAGCTTAAACAACCTCAAATTAATGAAAATAACAAACGAACACACGAAAAAAATACACAATCACTCAATAACGAATTCTAAGAAAAATGAATCATCTTATGGGGCTAAGAAGTCCAAAATTCTTAAAATCAACGAACATAAGCACAAAAGAGATTCACGTATGAATTCGGAGTTCATTTAACTACTTTATGAAGCTAAAATAGGTTCAACAAAAATCGAATTCCACATACCAGCCTACTTATGAAATCGAATTATGCAATTCAACCAATTCAACAACAACTTGCTTAATAATTGAAGAAAAACTAGTTTGAATCAATTCTCATTCATAAGGGATTAAATATAGACATAAAAAAATCCATAAAGAACACCAACCATTTTTTGAAATTTTTGAAATTAAAACAAACAAACAAACAAAAATGTAAGAATTGAATAAAAAAACAAACTTTTACATAGAATTGGAGGAAAAAAAATAAAAATTGACAAATAAAGGTTACCCATTGTTGAAGAAGATGAACAAATTGAGTAAACTGGAGCTGTGATGGAACAGCCTAACCTCTGCCCGGAGCTACTGCCGACCGCTCGCCGGAGATGATGCCGCCGCCGGTTCGCGTCTGCCGGCCGTCCGCCGCCGCGCCAGAGATGTCTGCCGGAACCCGCCTTAGCAGCGGTTTGATCGCTGCTTTATTCTCGTGTGTTTCCCCCCTCTATTCTTGAGTTGATGTTGCTCTAATTTATAGCAAGAAGGAGTAATTTACCGTTGAATTACTTCCCGTTGAGAATTGAATGTCGCGAATTTGATGGAGCCGAACGTTGGAGGAGTTATGCGCGCTGCAATCTACGAAGAGGAAGAACCGCTGCTCTTTGACTTCTTTTTTTTACTTGCGTGAAAGTAAAAGTGGAGGGAGGTAAGGTTTTGGGCTGATTCTTTAATGTTGAGTTTGGGCTCTGACCCAAAATCTTTCTCTTTTTTCCAAATTTGAGCTGCACTTGGCCTTTTGCTATACTTTTCTCTAAAAAATAAGATATCTGATAATTTTGGGTTAGGGAAAATAAATTAAAATAAAATAAAGACAATAATAAAATGTTAAAAAAATAATTAAAAACCTACTATTTTTAAAAGAAAAATTAAAAGATTGTAAAAATGAGAATTAAAATAAAACTAAGCTAAACTGCTAAAAATTAAACTCTAAAAATATTAAAAATACCTAAAATTGAATAAAAAGAACTAACCCAAACCCGGCTTATCAAATACCCCCACACTTAAGACTTGAACGTCCTCGTTCAAAAGACCAAAAAGAGAAACCATTTCAATTTCAATCATCATCAAGAAAAACAAAATGCACCTTACACCCTCACTCCAAACCACCATGTTTTAGTTGGAACATTTAAATTAAAGGACTCAAGTATCACGTAAAGATGATTACATTTCTTCGTCAGCCACTCCTTAAAATCTTGGCAGTCTTTCTGTCTATGTGCTTCCTTGCGGCAGAACTTGCAGTAAGACTTCCCTTTGGAGTTCTAGAGCTCGAAGAAGCACTTGCATCACGTTTTTGGACTTTAGAAACTTCCTTCTTATCGACATTTCCCTTCCTCTTCTTTGGATTAGCGGTCATGAGGTAAGCCACATCAGGTTTGTCCAGCTTCAGACGCTCTTCTTCTTGTACACACATAGCACAACTCATTCATCGACCACTTGACCTTCTGGGTGTTGTAGTTGACCTTGAAAGCTTCAAAAGATGCAGGAAGGGAAGTCATTATGAAGTGCACCAGAAAACCTTCACTGATCTCCATATATGTCTAATCCCTTAAGCTTACGGGCCATGTCGTTCATCATCATGATCTGCTCACGAATGCTGTTATTCCCGTCATATTTCGTAGTCACCATCTTCAAAATGAGAGTACTAGCATGTGCCTTAGAAGTTGCTTTGAATTGTTCCTCCATGGAAGCCAGATATGTTTTAGTATTAGATGAATCAGGAATAGCTCCCCTGATGATTATGCTGATGGAATTTTTAATGAGCATAAGAGTCATTCTGTTGCACCTCTCCCATCTATCATGTACTATTTTATCTTCAGAAGTACTTTTATCAGTGAGGGCAGGAGGGGCAGTCTATCTCAGTGCATAATCAAAATCCAACATGCCAAGAGTTAGCATCAGTGAATATTTCCATGAAGAAAAATTCGCATCGTTCAAGGTTTCAATTCCCATATTTGGGGCTGATAGTGGATTCAGATGAGAGAAATAAGATACATAATTAAAGAAGAACTTAAGGGGTAATGAACTAAGGCTGGCAAAGATAAGGACCATTATATAGTAATGAAGCTGTGATAAGAGTCTATTAAAACACCAAAATAATAGACTAAATTTAATTCTACTTAAACAAATGGCTTTCACTTTGGTTACGACCACTTATTTAAGTATTATGAATAATAAAACAATGATGTGCAATTTGAATGTATATGTACATCACCTTTGGGCAGAAGTGAAACATTTAAATTTTAATGCACATATGTATTTAGTTCGCAGTACACAATTATAACACATCATCTTTGAACAGAAGTGAAATATTATGTAATTAAGGCGAGTGTCATGCAAATATCTATTTAAGGATATGCACTAAATGACAATGCTTAATAAGACTTGAAATAAATTTTACAAATGTTACACATGCATCACCTTTGGGCAGAAGTGTACTATAAGGTATTATTCAAGTCAAGCAAAATAAATCAATTTAACTAATCATAAAATAAATTATTATTTAAGATTAGTCAAATGATTTATAAATTTAATGTTAATAATTAATTAACCGCAAAAGTTAAAGCGGTTTGGGGCGGGGCTATGAAAAAAAATTGGGGACCCATTAAGATTAATTTAATTAGAAAATTAAAAGGCATATAAGGCAAGAGATTTTCTAACAAGTAAAAAAATGGTATTTTAGCATATCCCTTACTTAGTTTTGCTATTCTTGGTAAAATAAATTAATAAATAAGGAAATAGAATATATTATGCAAAAGTGAGATATGCCATACAATTTAAGGAAACAAAATTATGTTTTAAATCAAATACCAAAAAGGAGGATTTCATCAAAATAAGGATGATTTCCATAAACATATTATCAAATTTATACTTACTGGATTGGGATTGACGAAAAAACAATAACTTTAAGCATTTGTTATGATATCTGGAATAGTTAGGATCTTACGAAAGTTAATTTCGTTTATTTTTAAGAGATCAAAATGATTTGTAATTTCCAAACCAGATTTCAATTTCTTCTTTGTTTTTTTAAGGTTGCCGATCCAGCTTTGATACCACATGTTGATCAATTCTTAAACATAAAATACAAATTAGGGATTTAATCATGTGTACCTGATAATCTTGTAAACGTAGTTAGGGATGAGGCCATGATTCTCACGGAGATCGAGTTCCCATTTAGGGTGTATCGTTATGATGGCTAAGGTGAGGATGAGACTCACGAGAATAGAGAGGCAGCTCAGAGAAAAGGCGTAAGATTGGTGTGTCGATCTCTGCCAAATGACCTCTATATATATACACCCAAGGGGAAACCCTAATTAGGTCGTAAGGGTAATTACGTCCATCGAATAATTACCAATTAAATACGTAGGGTATTTATTATGTCAATGATCAATTAATTAGATAAATGATAACTCAGGCCACATAATAAAATCGTGTCCTACACAATGCTTAGGACAGATCCTACACTTGATAGTGTTGCCTCTGTCTGATTCTCTGGTTCATTTACTACACTTGAACACTTGCCTCTGTCTAATTCTATTTGTTTCCTGATACATTTGCTACACTTGATACACTTCATTCCAATAAAACTTTGCTACACTTGATACACTTCATGATATACTTTTACAAAAAGAAAAAAATGTGCAATCCCTATTGTATGCTACACTTGATCAGAATATGATATACTTTTACAAAAAGCAAAAAATAGCATTCTAGGCCAACAAAAAGCAAAAAGAATGTGCAAAAGGTTCACTTAGAAGTACATATAGGTATTGTACCTTTCCTTGGCCATATTTGCACACACAACAAAAAAGTACTTAATCATTAAGTACTTACATATGTTCCTCTAAGAACTTTTGTGCATTCTTATACACTTCTGTGCTTACACCCAAATTCTATGGTAGTATTCCTTGTCTGGACAACTTACTTTTTGCCATATGAGGAATTTTAAATTGGTTTCCTCCCTTGTGAATGAGTATCTCACCCATCACCCCTTGTAGAGTTAAGAAGTCATTGTTTAGTTTGTCATGTGATAATTCTTCAAAGGCTGTTGTAACAGAATTAACTAAGTATGTCAATGACCTAGGATCTGTTTGGTCTTGTACTGAGTCAATGGATCTAAAAAATCCTAGATCAAGTACATTTAGATCAGGGCTGTTGGGGGGCTGGAATTTCAGTTGAATGTTCCAGTCCCCTTCTTGAGTAGCTACAACAATTTCAGGGTCATTGTCATCCACATGAGGCTTAGCATTATCTTGTTGGATAATAATATCCCTTAATGACCCAGGCTATTTCTGCTGGCTATTTCTGCTTAATTGCAGGTAACACTTTAGTCAGTAACATTCTCTTTATAACATCTCTATTCACAGTTGGTTCAGCCTTAGTTTCCAATGTCCGTGCAGGCCTATTTTTACTAGACCTTTGAGCTGCCTCTTCGAAAGTGAATGGGAAAATGCCTATTTTCCCATCCCATAACACATCTCCACCCTCCCCATACCTTGGCCTGCCAACTGCAGCCAGGAACATGATCTTTGGTATGAAGCTTTTGCTTTGAGTGGTTCTGTAGGGGTCAGGTTCCTCTGGCAGAGCATAGAATGTTGTGTTTTTTTGGTGATTTCAAACCATTTTTCATCAATGTGAATGTGATCATAAAAATCATGAAATGTTGGGCTAATGGGGAGTGATTGAGGAGATATATGGTCAAGACAGAATTTGAGTCTTTTTTGCTTACCTGACTCACATAAGTATGGCTTTATAGCACTTAAATGTCTCCTTATATCTTTGTGCTTTAGCCATCTGTGGACTGTGGATTTTGAAACCTCCATAGCAAAGCTAAGTGCACACATGTTCTTGCGTCTAGACAGCGGGATTGCTGCCATTTTTTCCATGTCTACAAGGACCCTTTTTCTACCACAACTTCCTTTCCAATGGCATTGAACATCAATAGGTAGACCAGACTCCAATTGTGCTTTAGCAATTTGCCAAATGTTGCTAACAGTTTTCATTGTAAAGCTGAATTCCTCAGCAACTTTGTTGATTAAGCCGTGCGGAAGTTTGCCATCCTTAGACTTTTTAGTAAAACATCAGCAACTCTTTTTTTGTTTTTTGATTAAGTTGAGCTCCTTTACTCTGTGCTTCTGTTTCTGTTTCTGTTTCTGTTTCAGGGGTGAAAAGGTTGTCGAAGGGGACTTCTATAACAGTGGGTAGATGGTCCAACGATGAGGAGTCATGTGCCGATAAAGACAAAGGTGAAGAAGGCTGCTCGGGAGGGGGCATTGAAGGCAACCAGGCTAGTAAGAAGATGAGGGTAATAAAGTGAAGAAGATAGGTGAAATGAATGCATTCAATGCATTCATTTAAATATGTAGTGCTTGAATGAAGTTGTATTTTTTTGGTTTTGGAGGGGTGTTTTGGAGGGAATATCAAATTTTCCCAAAAAAATCACCATTTAAACACATTTAATGAATGTAATGTATGGTGATGGTGAATGTAATCCATGTTGTTTGAGAGATGGGCAGTACGGCTAGTGGATTTAGTATATCATTGCTCTGCCGTATTTAATGTGATGAGTACTCCACTTGCTATAAAATTATGCTTTACACTATTCATGAGTTGATTGGATGTCTACTTTTTGATTAGGGTTGGGGGTAAATTGGGAAAGTCAAAGCAAAAAATTGGTCCCCTTATTTTGCTAAAAAGTCAAAACGGGTAAGACTTAAAGGGCTGGAGGGAGTATTAGGATTGCTCTTATTACATATATTTCCATATCAATCATTAAATTTAATACTACATCCCTCTCATACAAAAATTCTACATTTTCTGTTTAGTATCTATCAAAATTATGGCACTCATAATATCTCTATTCTCTATATCTTTTTCTACTACACAATTTTCGTTTTTTATCTCTATTCCAATTCAAAGGTGGAACAAGAGGAATTCCTAGTCAAATAAAATATTTGTCATTATTCTTACTACGGTATTTCGATAATTTTGTTTGTTTGTATATTTTGATTGGTCATTTGATAAAATAAAATAAATTGTCTTATCTTTTTTCATAAAACTTTTTGTACTCCCTCCGTCCCACAATAAACTTCCCATTGCACATTAAGATTGTTGACTGAAATTATTTTCAAATCCTTTTATATGAAAAATATCATGAAATTAAAAAATAAAAATCACATATTTAAAAATTACAACAAAAGATCTACAAAACGAGGTGACATGACTATATTATTTTATCAAATCAGTTTTGAAAATAGACAAACAAATTGAATAAAGTTTCACCATATGAATAGTAAACGAGAAGATAATTTCTTCGACGAAAGGAGTATAATTTTAAACTATGTAAATTTTTAATTTTTATTACACGCATGATATGTATGATGATCAGTGTATTTAATTAATTATTAGTTAATTAGTAATTATTATTTACACCTTGGTTCGCATGACATTGGAATTTAGTGTCATGGGAAGACCCAAGATCTATACGATACTCCATTTGAAAAATTGATAGTTCATACCCCATCCCCTAAGCCCTCGGTAAACCCCCAACCCCGGCTCGGCCGGAACCCACCCCACACCCCCATCAATTGCATCCCACAAGATTTATTCGTATTAATTAGGAAAGAATTTAGGGCATCTTCGGACTTGAAGAAATGGGAGGCAAAAAGAAGGAAATTGCGAGCATTTCTGGACTCCGAAAAAAGATAAGAGAGATTAGGGTATATCACATTCTTATTAGTTGAATAATAATAAATAGAATTACAATATATAGAGGGGAAAATGTAACGCTACTTGATCTAATGTGCTCGAACCCATACAAAAACATTAAATCCTATAAACTACCCCGTAGTATATAATACTCCGTATTAAATAAATTAAAAAAATACTAAATAATTAATAATTACTCCCACCGCCCATAAATAAATCTCTCGTTGCGCATTACGATGTTTGACTAAAGTTATTTTTAAATCATTTTATACGAAAAAAGTTTAAAAATAAAAATTACATATTAAAAAAGTATATCGAAAGATCTACAAAACTAGAGGTGACATGACTATATTATTTTTCTCAAATCGGTAACGAAAATAAGCCAACAAAGAGAATAAAGTTTAACCCTGAAAATAGTGAACGAGAAATTAATTTGTGGACGGAGTTAGTAATTAAATATGTTAATCACCATACATATGATTGGGGTGATCTTACAAGATAAGAAGAGTGAGAAATATTGTGAGAGACACTGCACAGTCTAGTAGATGACTACGGCTCCGTTTTCAGATCTGATCTGATTGGATCTGATCTGATTGGATCTGATCTGATTAGATCTGATCTGATTTTGATGAGATCTGATCTGGTTTGATCTGATTAATTATGATTTAATTTAAAATTTCAAATCAATAATTTAATTTGACTTTATAATAACATTTGAAAATTGTAATGATAATTCATATTATAATATAATCAATATTTTTTATTTAATGATTACTTTTTAATAAAATAAAAATAGTTAATTCATATATTAGAATAATCATTCATATTATAATGTAATAATATTTTTTATTTTATGATTATATTTTTGTAATAAAAATATATTTCAAAAGTAGAATTAGATTGACATTGTCAATGTATTTTAAAACTAATTTTTTCGACGTCTAATAATTAAGGATTACTTTCTTAGTTTTCTATTTAACTTATTTCTAAAGTTTATTCTTTTTCATTTTTAAGAACAATACTGATGATGATGATGATGATGATGATGATGATGATGATGATGATGATGATAATAATAATAATAATAATAATAATAATAATTAATAATAATAATAATAATAATAATAATTCCTGATGGATCTGATTTTAATAAGTCCTGATCTGATCTGATCTGATTGGATCTGATCTGGTCTGATTGGATCTGATCTGATCTGATATGATCTGATTCGATCTGATTTGATCTGATCTGATTCAATCTGATCTGATCTGATCTGATCTTATCTAATTTTAACAAAAATAAGAAAAAATAAGAAAAAATAAGTTAAACGGAACGAGGCCTACATTAAAGAAAACAAGTGGTACCATCGCTCCAGTTATGTACGTGGGTCGATATATAGGCAGTGCAGTGGATTTTATAGCATCAAAATAGAAATCGAGATTGGTCCTTCTACATATTTCACAGCTAGCACGTACTATCTTTATTCTTGAAATGTGTGGCTTATCCGCAAAGCAGATCAAAGATTTCCAAATCTCGCACATAGCTTCAAAGCATGGGTTTAAAGGTAAATTTAATTTTCTGATTAGGTTTACAATATTTGATGGAACATAATTCGTTAATGTTTTGTCATACACATATCATGTGCGTGTTTATGAACAATCTGTGTTGATTTTTGCTAAAACATATCATGCCCTCTATACATTTTGGCAGTTCTCTCCCCCTATTTGGATTTTGGATCTGATTCTTATGTTTGGATTTAAAATGTCTCCTGAAGTCGGCTTATTTTTGCTCTTAGCTAGCTTCTGACGTTTGTTTTTGGGGAACCAAGTTTTAAGATTTGTTTCTGTCAAGGAACCATCTCAACCAAAAGCTCAAGTTTGTGGCTATGGCCCAGAAAATGTTTTCTTATATTCTAACACGCCCCCGCACGTGCAAGTATAGTCTTTTTTCACGCCTCGCACGTAAAACCTTAATTTTTTTAAAACTGGGTCGCGCTGGGTTTTGAACCCGTGACCTCTTAGTCAACAAGGCTCCGATACCATGTCAAGGAACCATCTCAACCAAAAGCTCAAGTTTGTGGTTGTGGCCCAGGAAATGTTTCTTATATTCTAACAGTTTCACAAAGATAATTCATAGTTGTTATGTTTGCACTTCAATTCGGAGGCTAAGGACTTGAAATTGCACATTGCGAAGAGTTGGTAAATGAATGATTTGGTTAACCACTTAACCCTCATAAAATTAAGGTGTAAATAAAAATGAGAGGAAAAGAATGACATATTAAGGGTTGTGCTAGAATGGCCCATTGGCATGACCACACATACAAGAGGGCATATGTGAGGGTGTTCTCTCAGCATTTTTGCGTGAATGTTGGGGGCATTTTTTCTCTAATTTTAATTGCTCCATTCCAAAATATTCACAACTATCAAAATGCTATACTATACAAGCACTTTCATGGATCAACTTTTTTTTATTTATACAACAACAAAGCCTTAACCAACTAGGTGGAGTCGGCTACATGGATCAAATGAAGCCAATGTGCCCTATTATTACCTTGTTTGGAATTTAGCTGTTGGCTGATAGCTATTTGTGTTGGCTGGTTTGAACGGCTGATTGAGTTGACTTCTTTGACCAATCGATTATATTAGCTGTTGAAAAAAATTGTTTGGCAAAATAAGCTTTTTTTAAAATAGATTTATAAATTAAATTTAATTAAATTAAATTTTTACCTATATAATTATATAGTATAACATGCTTTGCAATATATATTCTTTCTATCCTCAAATAACATTTTAAGCAATATATTGTTCTAAAGTCATTATGATTTTATTTATTTATTTATTTATTTACTCCCTCCGTCCTAGAGTATTTGTCCACTTTCATTTTTGCACACCATTCAATGCACTTCTTTAATCCATTTTATCTTGTAATTTGTATATTAAAAAATTATAGAAATTATATATTAATAATCTATATGTTAAGACAAATCAAACAAGATCATACATGACTATATTTACACTTACACGTTGAGAGAATTTGATGAGTCAAAATGCTTAGATGAACAGTTTCAAAAGTCAAAAGTGGACGAATATAGCGGGACGAAGGTAGTATTTGTTTATATCAATCAATTGATAGCATAATATAATTATACAGAGTATGATATTTTGTTTCAAAAAATTTTTTGATGTAGTTCTTAAATATATAATTTGTTTATTTCTACACCAAATTCTCAAAAAATTAGAAAAAATGTTTTTTCTCGCAGATCGATTCATTATTTACTTATTTATTTATATAGTTATTAATTGATTTATTAGTTTATTTATTTATCAATTTTTTATTCAATTATGCAATAAATATTTATTTTTTTATTTATTCATAAAAATTACATACAATAACAAATAATATATTAAAAACTATTTTCCAACCGCCAAAGTGAAATGCTACTCCCCATAGCTTTTTAAAGTTTGGCTTTTCGGACTCAAACAGGCAACCTTTGCAGCCAACTACCAAACACCTTTTTTAGCTGTTTGACTAAGCAAATCTGCTAAAATTAGTCAAAACTACCAAAAGCTATCTTAAATGCCAAAAACCAAACATGCGCTATATCTGCTTTGAGATCATTCACACAAAGGTCCATCTTCACCACTTAATGTCAAGCCTTAGGTTTACCTCTTTCTCTAGCAACATGCCTATTCACCATTTTATCAACTTTTTTCACCAGATGCCTTATTGATCTTTTCTCCATATGCCCAAACCACATACGGCGAATTTCCACCATTTTTTCTACAATAGGTGTCACGCTAACTTTAACTCTTATATCTTCATTCTTTTTTCTATCCATAGGCATACGATTGCTCGTCCATTGAAGAATCTTCATTTTTTCCACAATAACCGTGTGTTCATGTTCACCCTCTGGTGCCCTACACTCGGTTCCATACAATATAGCTAATCTAATCGCACAACGGTATAATATTTCCTTCGTTTTAAAGGTACTTTTTTTATCACATATAAAGTCAAAGCACTCCGCTATTTTGACCAGTTGGCTTGAATCGTGTGGTTAACATCATCTTCTATTTCTCCATTGTCTTGAATGGTACACCCAAGATACTTAAATCTCTTTACTTGTGGTATAATAAGTTTTTTGACTTTCGCATTGATGTTACTATTTCCCCTTCCGTTGCCAAATATGCACTCTATATACTCTATTTTAGTGCAACTTATACGCATGCGATACAACTCTAGAGCCTGTATTCACAAAATCAACTTCCATTCAAATCATCTTGGTTGGTGATATTCGTCATCGGCCATCACTTGTAGACAGCCAAGAATTAAGAGGAGACCAGACTAGGATTCAGCTCGCCCTAATGATTTTAAGGCCAGTTTGCGATAACTTGTTCAACAAGGGTTAAACCCTAATTAGTTGTCTATATATATGTCATCTATATAATTCTAATCATTATCACACAATAATACAAACCCTAGTTGCGCCGGTAGATGTAGGTCAGATTCGATCGAACCACAAAAATTTCTTGTGTCCTTTATTGCTTTCTTGTTTTCTATTCGTGTGTTTGTGTGTGCGCCTCACAACTGGTATCAGAGGCTACGTCGAGCACACACATCAGCCTCTACTGCCAACCGTAGAGGTTCTAGGGTTGTCTGCCCGCACATCAGAAGACCACGTGACAATCATCTGTTGACAGTCCAAACAGCATTGTTCTAGGTCAGCTCTAGGTGTTTGTTTCAATCTGCTCTCAAGTGTTCTCTAGTCAAATTCTAGGTAAATTGAAGAAATGATGTGAGATGATGTTTGAGGACCGAAAGATCGGGATAGAGAAGTTTGATGGGCAAGATTTTAGATGGTAGAAGATGCAAGTTGAGGACCTGTTATGTCAAAAAGATCTTCATCCATGTTTGACACGTCTAGAACCTAAGAAGATGAAGGATGAAGAATAGACTGACTTGGATAGAAAAGCATTAGCAATCATCAGGTGCGCTTTGACAAAGAGTGTGGCCTTCAACATTATGAAAAAGACTACTGCTCGTGGGGTTATGACAACGTTGTCAAACATGTATGAGAAACATTCTGCCTCTAATAAGGGATTCTTGATTAGAAAGTAAACACTACTACTAAATAGGGAATACAAAATGGATAAATATGATATTTCCCAATGCTAAACAACCACTGTGTATGTAGCTGGTGGAAGAAGTCACATCTTTACACAACGGATATTTATCCGCTGTGAAAAGATTGTTAAAAAGTGCACATGATTTCCAAGCAGATATTTATCCACTATGAAAGGATGGTTCAAAAGCACATGTGATTACATAGCGGATAAATTTCTGCTGTGTAAGGGTACTTAAAAAGTTATATAGTTTACACAGTCCATTATATCCCGTTTGCTATCAATTGATATTAAATTTGATGATGAGGTACACGCTTTGCTTCCTTTATCTTCGTTATCGGATAGTTTGTCAGGATCAGTCATGGCTATTAGTGGTTCAGCTGGAAACACCACACTCACGCTTGAGGGAATCCATGATTCTATCTTGGGAGAAGACCTCAGGAGAATGAATGCACAGGTGGATCTAGTTCTCTTCTGAGCATTGAGGGAAAAGGTAGAAAGAAAGAGGGGAGAAACAGCAACAGGGGATGATCTAAGTTCAAAGGCATGAGAGGGAGTTCAAAGACAAGAAGCGACATCTACTGTTTGAACTGTGATGAGAATGGGCACTTCAGAAGTCACTGCACTAAGCCAACTAGAGGCAAGAAAGAGGTGAATGTTTCCATAACCTAAGATTCAAAGGACACAATCGAGTCCTAGATTATGAACTCAGGTGCGTCGTTTCTTGCTATCTCTAGTTTGAGAAAGACGAAGAATCTCAGACAAGGCAACTTTGTTTATGCAAGTCTTCCTAATAACCAAATGTTGGATATTGATGGGGTGGGAGACATTCACTTGAAAACCAACTTGGGAACAATTTGGACATTGAAAGATGTCACGGTAATTCCCAAATTGAGAAAGAGGTTAATTTCCATTGGGCAATTAGACGACTAGGGGCACGATGTTCACTTCGAGGGTGGACAATGGAAGGTTGTCAAGGGAAGTATGATAATTACTAAGGAAAAGGAACGGGGTACTTTGTACATGGCTAAGACAATTGCACGAGATACTAACGCAGTAACTTATGGTTCGGGTCTATCCAAGTTTTGGCATCAACAACTCGGTCATATAATTGAAAAGAGGATGAAAATGCTCGTTGCCAGTGGAAAGCCTCCAGGCCTAAAAAAAAGTTGAGCCTGAATTCAGGGAACCTTGTGTTTATGGAAAGGCAAGAAGGATATCATTTGCAAGAACAAATAGATAGTGGGTTTTCATATTCTACAAAGCGTACTATTACACACGACAACACTATTATACTCTTCATTCCTCTAAACCACAAAATTGGAGCTATAAAGTTCCACAAGTTCATAGACACTTGTGTACTATTAGGAAAAAACCTCTTTTCTAATACCCTATAATGAGACACGTAGTTAAGCATATGACATCAACCCCTCGAAGTGTTAAAAAAATCAGAAATAAACCAACCTACAAATGATGTGGGGGTTGAGTTTTGAGTCAAATTTTGACTCCAAGTCAAAATTAACTTGGGAGTGCAATTGAAGGGGATGGAGGGGTGTTCGGGTCGGGTGGGTGGGGGAGTTTACCAGGGGGTAGGAACCGTCAATTTTATGAACAGAGCACCGGAGCACCCCCTGGTCATCCCATGACATTGGTTCCTAATGTGATCGGAACCGGCCTCTTTTTTTTTTTTTGCAGATTTTATGGGATTTAGATGCCACATTAAAATATTTACAAAAGTCAATGTTCGGAAAATACTTTCATGTGTATCTAACTTATTAATAAAAATAATAGAGGCCGGTTCCGTAGCCCTTGGATTCCAGTGGCCATGGAAGCCACTGCCCCCCTACAGAGCTGCGTTCATGAAATTGATGATTCCTACCCCCGGTAAACCCCCCGCCAAGTCTCGACCCAAACTACTCGCCCTACTACGTCAATTGCACCTCGTAAGTATAATTGATTTTAAAGTCAAAATTTTTGACTTTATACTTACGAGGTGCAATTGACGTATGTGGGGGGAGTAGTTTGGGTCGAGACTTGGCAGGGCGGTTTACCGTGGGTTAGTTGGCGGGGGGTTTACCGGGGGTTAGAGAGGTAGGAATCATCAATTTCATGAACGGAGATCCGTAGGAGGGCAGTGGCTTCCGTGGCCACTGGAATCCAGTGGCAACAGAACCGGCCTCAAAATAATATGCCCAAAAATTAGCGAATCGCCCTGGGGTAGAGGTGGACATGAACCGTGCAACTTTGCCAAGACTGAAGATGTGACCATTTGTTACGCGTACTTGGAAAAAATTAAGGCTCGAAGTTAGGGCTTTGAACAAAAAACCTGTTTATTGAATGGACCCACTATGGAACAGCCAATTGCCGCTGGCCACTTTGGGTTATTGTGACCTTTTATACTCCTATGTTTTACTTTCGAGTAGGGGCAAGGTCTGCGTACACACGCCCTCCCTAGACCCTACTGTAGTGGGATTCAACTGGGTTGTTGTTGTTATTGTATACTCCTATGTTTTAATTGAATACTTTTTCAGTTTTGGAATTTTTATCCCTTAACACTAGGTTTCTATAATATTTTATATGATCATTTGATAAAATAAAATGATCAAATTACCAATTTTTTATGTAGAGTATACAAATTTCATTTTTTAATTCTACACCAATTTTTAAATAGGTTGAACTTAAATTAACTTTAATCAAACGTTGTAAATTAACTTTAAGAACGGATCGGATGAAGTATTATAACAACTCGTTATACCCTCTTTTATTAAATATTCCAAAGAGAAGTTGGAAGTCGATGGAGATTATACAATAGGTTTCCTACTTGGTATGTAATGTAAATGTCTAAACAATTGAGAGATTGAAACCTTGTTCCGGGGCAATGCTAGGCCATGTGTACAACAAGCCAACATAGATACACAGAGACAAAATGCCTGTGTAGCACAGACATTTTTTGTCTGTATATGTTTGTGTTTGCTTGGTGTGCGCATAGGATACCCCATTTTGGTGTACCCCTAGGTTAATTCCTTGTCCCGATCTTCAGGAGAAATTTGAAGAGCATCACTTGAAAGATAAGCTCTTGCCTGGAACTATTGACCACAAAGACATGCTCATTCTCTATGGACTTTACAAACAAGCAAAGATTGGAAATGTGAACACAGGTGATAACATTGTGTGAACCAAATTTAATTCATTCTCATATTCTTTTTTCTTGCTGATAATTTTTTTTGTTTTGTTTTAAATAACAGATCCGAGTACTTTCAGCAATGGGATAGACATAGCAATGTGGGATGCGTGGAAGGCTGTTGAAGGTATGGGAATATGGAATTTAATCTAGGATGCCGAAATCTCCCTCGAGGAACAAGTTGAAAATTCTTTCTACAATTCATCCTTGATAAAGATATGCCTTTTTTTAATGCAGGAAAACCCACGGATGAAGCTATGACTGAATATATTGCCAAGGTGAAGGCGCTAGTGCATGAAACATCAACGTCATCTTTGACTATATGTCATTGCTGCTCAATATGTTAAAAGTGTTATTATCAAGTGTGATTAGATAACATTGTGATCACTGAATATGACCGAGTTTCCATTCTCGTTGCCTTTTTTTGTTTAAAATCTCATTTTCTATTGGAGTAAAACGTAGTTAACTCATAAACGTATCATAATTCTGGTGTGGTATTGCTATGGGAATAACGGTTTCTATCTATATCTATTGTATATCTGCATGATACTTAATCAATGTTTGACAACCTGAACCGAACAAACGGAACAACAAACTCCAGGCCTGGTTAAGTTACACGTTGATGGATTCATGAGTTTTTGGGTAAGCGTTACTATAATAAAACAACTATAACAATAGTTGGATCTCACGGAGGTAGGGTTTGGAATAGGTGTATGTAAGCAGATTTTGCCTCCACTCGAATGTAGAGAGACCATTTTCAAGAGACCCAGGCTCAAGTTACATAGATAAAGACGACCACAAGAGGTATGTCATTGAACAAAGAAAGCGCACATATATAATACACAATGCATACAAAGGCAATGAACAAGCTAGAACTAACAATGGAAATGTAAAGCAATCATAGAGCCCCAAGCATACAAGGCAATAACAAGTGCAAGAAATTATTTTTTAGCCTAATGCATGTAGCAAACTACATTGATCCTAGATCTCCAAATTAAATACTCCTATCTAAAGCTCTGTTAGCTTAATCTGATACGGGTATAATATGTTTATTCGTATGTTTGTGTCTTAGTATACGTTTTATACATTCGGAGTACATATACAGATGCGTTCGCATTTTATAGTTTGATTTTTAAAAAATATGTCTTATAATGAGTGAAAATATTTTAATAAGAAAGAAAGTTTAAACATTGAAATTTACAAATACACTATAAAATTTTTAAAATATCAACCAATATTACCATTTATTGTTTATTTTTTCGATATGTATCCAAAGGATATCTTTCAATAAACTATTATTGTGTACTTCCAAAAAAAATATAAGAACATATTGTTAAAATTGAAGTTAAAATTTAGACATGAATGGAGCATTTGCTCAAACACGCGACAAAACAGTTTTAGCTACAACTGCTATTTGTCGTTGCAAATTGAAGAATAGCGATGAAACATGTGCAACAAATATTTACCGTAGCAAATCCATCGCAGTTCTTCAATCTGCTACAAAAAAGCTCTTTTGTGACAAAACTTTTCCGTCGTAGCAATTCAGGATTTTTTTGTAGTATCCATATAATATTAGACAATATGAGTTTTACGAAATTAAATAAATGTTCATAACAAATATTAAAGGAAGATTGAAGTCTCTTTGCAATATAAATATGAACTCACCATATTATCTTTTATGCAATTTAAATTTGATTAAAATAAAATTAACTTTCTATTTTTCATTTTTAGAATGAAAAATACATGTACAAACTTGTATTTTTAGAATTCAGATCACACAAATGTAATTAACTTTGTATTTCTAAACGTCGATAAATATTTAACCACGAGTACTAAATATAAAAATCTGATTACATTTGAAAAAAACTAAACAAATAGAGATAATGTTGTTGCCTATTATTTGTTAGAGCTGTAGGAGTGTTGGATTCCTAACCAGATGGAGTCAAAGAGACTGGTAGACTATGAATGATATTTAATGAACAAATGATGTTGGAGAATGACTTGAACTACATTCTGGTATCTAATACTTTTACAATTGCTGAGTCACAAAATTCTAAAGAATTGTATTTTTGGAGGAAAAAAATCAAGTGAATTGATTGGATAAAAAAGTTTACATAAGTTTTGATTATTCGAGTTGAAAGAAGAGGATTTTTAGGATTTAATACGTATACAATTCTTAAATATGTTTGGGGTCAAAAATACATTTATTATACGTTTGTCACTTGAAAAATTTGTATTCGTGATAGACCTGGCAATCGGGTCAATCGGTTCGGTTCCGGTTCGGGTCTTTTCGATTCGGGTCTCATTCGGATATATGTTATAATCGAGTCGGTTCGGTTCGGGTTAGTTCAATTTCGGGTTTATTTGAGTTTGACTGGTTTTCGGTTTCGGTTCGAATTCAGTTCGGGTTTGTATCAGTTCGGGTTTGTATCGGATCAGGTTTATATCGGTTCGAGTTTGTATCGGTTCGGGTTTGTATCAGTTCGAGATTATATCGATTTAGGTTTGTATCGATTTAGGTTTATATTAATTCAGATATATTTTAAATATTTACTAATAAATCAATAATATCACATAATAAATTTAATCAATTTATGATATACTCCGTAGTTATTTTATTATATCGATTTAGGTTTGTATCGATTTAGGTTTATTATTTAATCAATTTCGGGTCTAATTGATTCCAGGTTTAACCGGGTTCGGGTTTTATCTGTTCGGGTTTAATCGGGTTCGGTTCCGGGTTATTTTGTTCGTGAGTATAATACGCGTATTATACGTACGGGAGTATAATACGCATATCATACGTAAATAAGCTAACAAATACTCTATATAAGTTATATATCATTAGTGAGGGAAAAATATCCTAAGTCATGTCTTATCACTTTTTTTCAATTCTTCGTAAGTCTATCACTTCACCTACTTCCTCCCACAAACGTAAGCCTGGCCTCTCGCATCTTCACACCAGGGCGTTGGCATTTTACCAATTCACATGTCCAAACACCCTCAACTCTGTTTCCCACGGCTAATCTTTTCGAACTCCAACTTATTAAAAAAACAACAGATCTATCGTCCCCATAACCAATTGTTGTTGAAACCACTGCCAATTGTTGTTACAGCCGATTATTTGCTCAGATTTCTTCTGTCTCACAACATGTATTTTGCCACCAACTTGAATCGGAGAGCACTCAGTTAAAAAAAGAAGGAAAAAAAGAGAGCAGAGCAGATTCAACTCATTGTTGGCCAAGAAAAAGATTAGGGATCGGAGTATATTTTTGGATCAGATCACAGTCCATCTGTCCATTCGTCAACTTATAGTTGTTCCACCCCACTTTTGGTAATTCATCACTACCCCACTTACAAAAAAAAGAAATTCCTAGCAGCAGTAACTGTCCCATGTTTGGGAGTCCGATTCCAGTTAAGTAGTTGACACAAAGTGGAGTTGACAAGCTCGGGAGTCCGGTGGAGTTGTATTGCGATTTGACTGCAACAAATCATATTCAGGGGTTATATTGACTGAAACTTTGCCTTGCTGCGAGTTACCTCCCCTTAGTGCATTGTTTTTATTGGCAAAAAAATAGTGGGCCCAATTTTGTTATTTGTGGCCAGGATCATCAAAGTGGTCTTCTCTGTAGCTTTGCGCCACCCAGTCACGAATCCTCTTCCGACTCTGATATTCCAGTCATCCAGATAACTATGGCCTTGGTTTTTGATGATATTATCGTAACGATGAACTATGCATTGGATAAACTTCGTGACTTGTTAGAGACGGTTCTTTATGGCAAAATTTAGGATGACAATGGAGCATGTGCACTTTATGATCACATAAAGAAGTTCCAATCATGCCAATTGATTATACGTCAACCAAATTTTGATTATGCCTATATGAGTTCGATATAGAAATTTCTTCTTCAGTACAGGACTTGGTTCGGGGTCCCCCAATTGCACTAAGTCAGATTCCTTGGGAATTACTAACTTTTAAAACAAGCATGATGAGCGCTTTAAGGAATCTCATTGGTGCTCCATGTTCTCCGCCAAGAATGCCCCAAGATGTGACGGAATTAAAATCTGTGCAGTGGTTAGCTACGGTGTCTGAGTATTTCCAGTTTTATGATGTCCCTTTAGCTGATCGTTTGAATCGTGTGACATCAATGTTAGAGGGCTCTGCCTTGGCTTGGTTTCATTGGCGTATGTGTGGTGGCTTAATTGAGCATTGGGAGGATTTTGTTGAAAAGTTCAAGATTCAATTTGCTCCACTACATGATTTGAATTATATTTGTTTTGAGAAGACACCAAAGAAGGTTATAGACACATTTGTTGACATGGTGGAAGACACCACCACACTACCTACTATGACTATGAAGGACGCATTTGGATCAAAGAAATTCAGCACTGGATCACGTGGTGAAGATGCGGTGAGCAGTGTATTTCAAGCCATGAATGAACGGGAAGCCCAACACCGTGAAAGTAATTGATGATGATCGTAAGCATATAAATGTTGCTAAGAACTACAAGCCAGATCCTACTTTTCAGGATATAGATACCTCGATTCATGTGGTCATTGCAGAGTATAAAGTTTCAAGATATGAAGACAAGGTAGCGGATGAAGAGTTTCCTAATGTTGACAACACAATTTCATTGAATACCCTCAAGTTGTTTGACCTTGATGATACTGAAAAGTTTGAAAACCTAGCTCCCTTGCGGGTAGTCTGCCACCTGTTTGATTTTGCCTCAAATGTCCTCTGTTACGCTTCAATTGTCATGATTTTTAACGATGGGTCACCCGGTGGAGATCTTCTTCAATTCAACCCTTTCCCTTTTGTCCAGAAGCTAAGCACGAGTGGAAGCCTCCACCTTGAGGATAAAGTGGCTTTCTAAGGGAGTGGGAATGATAGAGAAGATGAATTATATTATTTAATTAGTTATTTATTAATTAGTAGTGTTATATAGGTACTCATAATTAAGTTTTAGTATGTGCCCAAGCCCATAGGTAATTAAGTTTTACATCTTTCTCTACCTCTTGTTCTTGGAGCTTGAAGAGCGCTCGAAGTTCTTCTCTATCTGATACGATATTCGTATCAGTACATGCTCATGATTGGTAATGTAAATGCATTCTAACTCTTATTTCGAAAAATAAAAACATGAAACTTCTATTTTGGTTTATTTGTAATGTTTTACTGCTACTTTAGTCTTTTTCTCTTTTTTTAAGTGTTCATTATGCACTTCTTTTATTGACTTGTTAGAGCTAGATTGAGAGACACATTTCTACATATATGCTAAAAACATTTGTTGAGTTTTTTCAAAAATGATACTCCCTCTGTCTAACAATAATGTTTTCGTTACGTGTTACGGTATTTGACTAAAATTATTTGCAAATCGTTTATATGAAAAATCATATGGAATTGAAAAATAAAAATTACATATTTAAAAATTATATAAAAAGATTTACAAAACTAGAGGTCACATGACTATATTATTTTATCAAATGTACAGAGAGAATTTTTACTCATATATCTATAGGATAATATTTAAAAACAGTGTATATATCCTACACCCACCCGCTCGTATTCCTTCATATTTATGAGGTGGTGTAGAAGGCTTGTTATTTAAATTCCCATACTTCCAAAGGTAGAAGAGATGGCCTTAAAATTCTTAGTTGTAGCAACCGTCAGCAAACAGCCGAATCAAATTCTCAGTGCCAAAGAACGAATAGTGAACATTTTAAAAATAAGGGTAACATAGAATGACCAAACCACGGGACGAACAGTTTTTGGAGTTCACAAATCAGCTATAAGCCCCTATCAAATAGAGTACACTACAAAACATACTCCTGAATTTACGCAAAGTTTAGTCTCTAACATAAATAGCACTTTTATGAGCATCAATTCACCTTATGGCTGCAGACAAGATTTATAGAGTTGCTTACAGCCCAATACTGGTAAACCAAGAAAACAAATGTGAGAGAAACCATGGGAAGTGAGGTACAAGAAGAAGTTAACTAAAAGATATTAGGCATGGTCGGAGGTTTCTGGCCCAGGGTTGCCTCCCAAACCAATGGCATGGATGGTCCTTTCTTGCGCAGGTACTCCTGAACAGATTTCACATCAAGATAAAAACCCTTCTGCTTCAGGGTCTGGATCATGTTCTTGGCATCTTCCAGCCCTTTCTCCTTACAGAACCCATCAACCAAAGCAATGAAGGTTGCTAAGTTGGGTGAATGTCCTCCCTCGAGCATTTCAAGACAGATCCCAAATGCTTCTTCTGATCTCGTCCCTTGACAGAGTCCCTGAATCAGAACGCTAAAAGTGAAGGCATTAGGAGCTATGGCATTGCTTTGCATTTTACGGAAGACGCTCACAGCCTCATCATGTTTATAAGCCTCGCAGAAAGCCTGAATTACAGCAGTGTATATCACTACTTCTGGAAGGCTACCCTTTTCACGCATATATCCAAAGAGCTTCAAGGCCTCTTGGACCAACCCATCCTTGCACAACCCATCCAGCATTGCTACAGCATTTGGAATCAAGCCATTTTCTTTCATTTTCTTAAATAACTCATCTGGGTCTTGCAGTGGTGGAGGGGACGCCTCGGCAGCAGAAGCGTCAGTCTTTTCTTCTTTGGGAGGAAGACCCTGGTCAGTTTTTTTATGGTCAGATTCAAGCTGAAATCTCTGGAGAAAATCTTCACCCCCACTAGCCTGCGGAATCTGGTTTTTATTTTGTCCTTCAGGCCAGTCGACACTAATAAAAGGCCTTGATTGAGATTTTTCCTGGGGAACATAGGATGGTCTTCCAGAGTCATCTCTCAACGGCCTGTTAGGTATAGGTTCAGGAGGAGAAATTTTTGACTGAGTGCTACTTATGATGGGAGAACTCTTGTGGCCATCATCAATTTTAACATAACTACACATTGAGCGCAGTTTGAAGAGCTGAGCACAGCATAGTGACTCATTCACATTTGCATTAAGCACCAAGGTAAGATTGTGTTTATATTTAGAGTAAACATTGCCGCCTTTCATTCTCAGCAAAGCTGCCATGTCTATTACCTGCAAAGTGTTGGCCACTATCCAAGCTATGAAATCTTTGGACAAAAAACAGAAAGATTAAATAACATGCCTGCCCAACTCAACCATGTAACGGAAATTACTATTGCATTCACCTAAAAAATAATAGCTCTGCAAAGTTTAAAAATGAAAATATTCTTCTAAATCTGTGAGTGCTTCTTTATCCTGCACCAAAACCAGAATGAACAAAAGTATATCTGAGAGCATAGAAGCATGATATTCAATAAGTAGATTCATTTCAAACAAAATATTAGTTGCAACTTTGGCATCGCAACAAAAAATGGCTTTTAGACATAATACGCCTAAAATCAACTCAATTGATTCAGACTTGAAACTTTATATCTGGAAAATGGAAATTTGGGTTAACCTTATGATTTATTTCACAGAATCGATTGCTTGGATTGCAATCAAAATACAAGAAACATAGTAACTATTCGATCGCGCATTCAACAACGGTAAAACCCTAAGAAAACATAAAACGAAATTCCGGATGAATTTTCCGCTATAACCTAGTAATTGTGAAAATAAATCGAAATAAAAATCCGAATTCACCTGAAGAAGTCGGAAAAGTTTGAAGTACCGTCAATCGCAATTCTTACCAGTTTCATCCAGGCACATGCAGATGGTGGAGTATATGGTGAAAGTGTGAAACAGGCGGCGAGGACGATGTTAGAGATCTGACGAGAAGTAACTAGTTATAGGAGTGTTTGATTTTAGGTTTTTTTAAAGCTTTTGAATCTAGGTTTGAATGTTTGATACTCATTTAAAGTACTCTCACTTCCAAAAATTTTTACACTTTTGTTGTTTGAGCATTTGGATAATTATTATTTATTTGTGGTTCATCACTAATTTCATAAAATAAAATATGTTCGTCAAATCTTAGTTTATACCAGAGGTGGATTCCAATCAAACCCGGCCCCGATTCCAATCTTACCAAGAACCGCTGAGTCACATTTCGGACATTGTGGTAGGGGTAGAAAGGGCGCATTAACAACCCGGATAGAGACACCCAAGTGGGTCTGAGTTGACAGGTCAGGTAGCGAAACTTTGCCCCAGCAATCTTTAATGCATTCGAGAAGCGCATAGTAACAAGACCCGGGACAAAGTACAAGCAAAGATCATGACAGGCGGGTGAGAGCACGGGTAGGCCTAAGCAAGAGTGAATTAATCGGACTAAGTTCACTGCATTGAACAAATTGATCCGGAGTCGTGTCCATCCATATACTATGCGCTAGGAGGGACTGCTAAAAGAGAAAGAGGCCAAGGAGAATGGACAAACGCTAAAAGATGAGGAAGCATCAAGTCACTCACCACGTCATGTGGCAGGCACGTGGCCAGGCATGGGCGCCTGCCACCCTGCTCCCTAACCTCTCTATATATACACTTGTAACCCTCAGTAGGAGGGATCCGAATTCTACCTCTCTAGAGTTTATTGTGTAATTCTTCCCTATACTCTTTACACACTTAGTAACAATTGGATTACACGTGTTCCCACCTACAGTCCTCCCAATCAATCTTTCATCCTAAGTCATTTCAGTATCTAAACCCAGCAAACCACACTGGTCAAACTTAACAGGTAGGTCAGAGTTGACAGGTCCAAAGACACACACTAGACGACAGGGGAATCTCAAGGGAAGCCGAATAACACGAGAGGTGACGACAGGAGCTAGACGACAATCAAGTGTCAATCACGTTTAATACCGTTGTAATAGTAAGGAGGCTATAAATAGCCTTAGGCCATGTCATTGTAAGGGATCCGAAATTATGTGAATATACTCCTATTTTGCATTACCTTATCTCTTTCTTTATACTCTTGCTTACTCGACTCACCCGACCTCACGCTCGGACTACTTGGTGGTTTATTACCATCAGTAAGGTATATTTCTAGATATATAGGCCAAGTATAAATGTATAATGGTCTGGGTAGAGGATTTATATTTGTTAAAATAATTTTAATTTGGAATTCAAAAAAATAGATATTTTGATAAACAGTTATTTAAACGAATGTATATCCGGATCAGATTTTAAACATATCGGATATTCAATTACCAAATTCGTATTCGTTTAGTAATCGGATGTCTTGAATCGGATACGAATAATATCCATTCAAAACGGATGCAGATTATTCACGTTTAAACAAAAACGGATGGAGACAGTAATTGATTTTTCGATTATCGAAAGCCCTACTTTAGACTACTATTCCTTCTTTTTTTACTCATTAACTATGTGCAATGACACATTTTCCCTTTGGTTTTTAATAGTAAAAATTGGAGACTTGTTTGACAAAATGCTCGGTTATTACGCGCCCTATGAAGAGAGCTAAGAGACAAGACAAAGAAGCTAAGGATTTGCTTTGTTTAAAGCAAAAGAGCACAGCTAGCCAGTCACCCCGATCTCCAGAGATCCAGACGTAAAAATTCACCGAATGGTCTCTTAGCTACATTAATTAGTTTTTGTATATCATAGAGTATTCTCTTGCCTTTTGAATCCATATAGATTTAGCGGTTGATTTATATAGGGAAATATTGGGTTTTGACGTTTGCGCCAATCAAGTAGGTATTCAATTATTATCTTCACTTGCATGCCATTATCATTCGCTCCTTTGAAACTGTCGCATTGGTGATCAGATCTTGTTTAGATCATATTGTGATGCCAAATTTTCATTTTCAGAAATTTCGAGAATTTCCTTCCTGCAATATATCAAGGATCATCGTGAAATTTGTGATAAGTTTTAGACGTGATTTCTCCAAAGCGAAGACATAGAAAATTGACTGATTTGTCGACAGTAATTGTGTTTGTCTAGGACTAGGATTGTATTGAGCGTTTTGTTTTTTTCCGCATGGTTTTCGTTAGGTACGGAGTATAAGGGATGGATTAGTTAGGTTCCAACTGATTCGCTGATTTATAGTTTGAAAAGAGGGCCTCCTCTGGACGGCTTCATCTTTATACTTCTTTTTGCACTCTCAATAATGTGCAAAATCTTTGTTTGCTTTTGAACTTTCTGTTCACTCTCGGAGTAGATCTTTCAATGAAGTGAAGCCATTGTTTTATGCCAAAATGATTTGTCCTTAGGAAAGTTCTCAAGCTCGTGGGACTTCATCCCTCTCTAATTTGGCTTTCATTAAGAATCTGTTGCTTCATTTACAATCGGATTGGTAGCATTTACAGTTTGTTTTACTCTTGTGCTGATAGTTAGTTGATTAAACTTGGGGAGCCATGAAGCATAAAGATGGGAAGCCCTTATACAAACCAGAATCAAGAAAAGTTCCAATGGCGCTAATACTTGTTGTGCTCTGTGGGTTTTCGTTTTATCTCGGTGGGGTCTTCTATTCCGGCAAGCAGAGTTTGTTAAATAACAACAACAACAACAACAACAACAATAACAATGATGTCAGCAAGGAGGTTGAATCTCTGGAGGTTACTGCTGGTGGCTCACTGCAAAATGCAGACACTTCGTTTCCTGAGTGCAGTCCCGACTTTCAGGATTACACTCCTTGCACAGACCCCAAGGTATATAATATGCTCTGTATTAGTCTATTCTGGATTTTTGTAGACCCAAAGTCTAATGCACACTGACTATACAGAGGTGGAGGAAATATGATCTTCAAAGGCTAACTTTCATGGAACGCCATTGCCCTCCACCATTTGATAGAATGGAATGCTTGGTCCCTCCGCCGGATGGATATAAGGAGCCAATCAGGTGGCCAAAGAGCAGGAGTGAAAGTTGGTACAGGTAAGGTGTTGTTGGAATTTTTGTGGCTTTTGATTGGATTTTCGAGTGCTTGCATCATTTTAATACCCACTTGGATGTGGTTGCAGGAATGTTCCATATGATTGGATTAACAAGCAAAAATCTAATCAACATTGGCTAAGGAAAGAAGGTGAGAAGTTTCTTTTCCCTGGAGGTGGGACCATGTTTCCCAATGGAGTTGGCCAATATATTGATTACATGAAAAGTTTGATTCCTGGTATGAAAGATGGGACGATCAGGACAGCCATTGATACTGGATGTGGGGTGAGTGCGCACTACTTGTATGATTGATGCCTTTGCGGTTTTGTTTAATGCATTGTTTTCACGAATTAATTTTCTTCTGATGGTATTTAGGTTGCAAGCTGGGGAGGGGATTTACTGGACAGTGGGATAATAACAATGTCATTAGCGCCAAGAGACAATCACGAGGCTCAAGTTCAGTTTGCTTTAGAACGTGGGATACCTGCAATTCTAGGGATCATTTCTACACAGCGACTTCCATTCCCTTCTAGTGCCTTTGATATGGCTCACTGTTCGAGATGCCTTATCCCATGGACTGAATTCGGTAACTGTCCTACCGGTTAAAATGATCAAAACAAACACAAAACCTACTCTATCCAGTCCAGGCACCCTTGGGCTTACCAGTGTTTTTTCATCTAAGTGAGAAGTGTGTTATCGTGATACCAATGGGTGCCGTTGTAGTCCACTAGTCCTATATTAAAATGATGGTCATTACTAATACTGGATAATACTCCCTCCGTGCCTAAATAAAACTTCTATTTTTCTCTTGGCCTTCACTAAGTAAAGCCATTTTTTATTTTGATAAATGCAATAATCTTACTTTACTATCATTATTATCCTCACCTCACCATCAATTATTCTCAACGATGTCACAAAGGCATTTTTTGGAAGTCAAACAACATGTGATTCAGTGAGAGCGGGAGTACTTAATTATTTTTTCATCCATATGTTTTGTGTGTGTGTGTGTGTTCATAAAAAAGGAAAGATATCCAACCTTGTGTGTATATCTGATTGTTTTCAGGGGGCGCCTATCTTCTAGAGATACATCGCATTCTACGTCCTGGAGGGTTTTGGGTCCTCTCTGGTCCGCCAGTGAACTATGAGAACCGCTGGAGAGGATGGAATACCACAATTGAAGAGCAGAGATCAGATTATGAGAAATTGCAAGATTTGCTGACTTCAATTTGTTTCAAGTTGTACAACAAGAAGGACGACATTGCTGTGTGGCAAAAATTATCAGACAACAGTTGCTATAATCATCTTGAAAGTCCTGACAGCTACCCGCCAAAATGTGATGACAGTCTTGAACCCGACTCGGCATGGTACACGCCGCTTCGTACTTGTGTTGTGGTGCCAAATCCAAAGGTCAAGAAAGTACGTTTGGAATCGCTGCCCAAGTGGCCTGAAAGGTTGCATACCGCTCCTGGACGAATTGTTGATGTCCGTGGAGGAAATGAAGCTTCTTTTAGACACGATGATAGCAAATGGATCAAACGGGTGAAGCACTACAAGAAGTTGCTCCCTTACCTTGGGACTGATAAGATAAGAAACGTGATAGACATGAACACCTTGTATGGTGGTTTTGCTGCTGCTCTTATTGACGATCCTCTGTGGGTCATGAATGTGGTTTCTAGTTATGGGGCAAACACACTTCCTGTGGTATATGACAGGGGTCTCATTGGTACCTATCACGACTGGTATTGCCATCCCAGTGCTCTTTCTTGAGTATGTCATTCATTGTCTTATTTATCAATTCAAAATTTATATTCCTATCCTTACAGGTGTGAAGCTTTTTCAACTTATCCTAGAACATATGATCTACTTCATGTTGATGGCCTGCTCACGGCTGAAAGCCATAGGTATGTTTAGCTTTTGAAATCTAATCTTGATTGTAAATATTATTAGCATACTCCCTTCATCACAAAAAAAAAGAATACAAAA